TCACAACATACAATATACTGTTTTCTTTCTTTTTACAGCCCCTTATGTAACCCACCCCCAATCCATAGCAATGCCTTCCTCCCCCAACGACGACAACAACAACAACAAAAAACAAGCCAACCTCTCCCGCATCCGCACCAACCAGCGCCTCTCCCGCGCCCGCCGAAAAGAATACATCGCCTCCCTAGAAGCCCGCCTCAGACAGCACGAGGAAAGAGGCGTCCAAGCCACACTAGAGATCCAGCTCGCCGCGAGAAGAGTCGCAGAAGAGAACAAAAAGCTGCGAGAGCTGTTGGGAAAGGTGGGCGTGAGTGAGGCAGGTATAAGAGACTACCTTCAACAGCACCAACCACAACACCAACAACAACAACAACCATCTCATCACCCTAGAGCAGCAACGGCAACAACAAAACCTCCGTGTAATAATTGTAAAGAGCAAACTCACCCCCACCCGGGGGAGAGGTTACAGGAGAAAGACAGGGACGCAGAGCCGAATGAGTGCTCCATGGCTGCTGATTTGTAAGTTGCTCCTCCCAATAAAAAATCTTGTTTTGTTGCAGTAGTTAGGTATATGCGGATTGAATTCCCGGGACTAATACAAAGTCTAGAATATCGCTCATCACCGGCGCAAACACCAACCAAGTCCGTGTGACATTGGGGTGTGCTCCCGGAAGAAACTGTGACGTCGACGAGGAGGCTATCGAAAAGACCATCACCCGGCTCAAGAGTTCTGTCTCTAGTTGAGCAAAACACCGGAGAGAGAGACATGACGAATGAATTCTCGTATCTTCCGCTTATTTTTTACCAAGGGCATAGGCATAGGGGGGGGGTATAACTCATAATAAGTAATAGGTACAATCAATGTGCCCAAAAATACAAATGAAAAATCAAATCGCTTAAAAAGAGAAGGCCAATCAATCAATATCCATCAACACCCGGATTTGCAAAAACAAAAAAAAACAAAAAACAAAGCTCAAGAGCAAACCAAACCCGCCCAGATCACAAAAAGTAGTCCGCAACAGGCTTCTTCGCCGGCATCCCCCTTGAATCCTGCGGTGCAGCCTGGAAGACCCGATACCTCCTCGCCGGCCCGGCTCTGTTGTAGCCCAGCAAGTCATTCTCCATCAACACCCCCCTTGGCCCTTGACCGCCCATCCCATCACTCCTGTTCACATCCCCGTTACTCCTCGCCAGCACACCCAGTCCAGAGTCATCCTCCGACAGCTCCAGCAGCGCAGCCACGTTCCCGCATCGGTAGCAGTAATTCGGCGCTGACCACACCGTGACGATGCTCGCGTCAAACATCTCCTTGAACCCCTCCATAACCAACTGATGCGCCCTCGCGATCAAGCTCAGATCGTTCCTGTGATTGAACACCTTGACAATATCAGCCCCAAACAAGAACCCAGCCCCCCTCGGCGACAACCCCCACCCGTCAATCTCATCCGGGTCCGACCAGAGCAAGTCGCACATGGCACCCTCATGAGGCACTTCCTGTTTCCGATCCAACAGCCGAATCTTATCCACATTGTCAATCAACGGACTCAACCCGCCATGAACACACAACACCGCCCCCGCCGGATTCCCAATACTCCCACCGCTCGCCCCCGAAGCCCCCGACCCCGGTGGCCCCGTATTCGTCGGCGCCGGCGGCCCACCACCCCCATCCCCAAACCCATTCGTTATCGGCTGTTGCTGCCCACCACCACCTCCCGCCCCATTCGGACTCCCCCTCCCCCTCTCAGGACTACTCCCCCCACCTCCACCCCCCTGACCGCCGCCGCCGCCGCCGCCTCCCCCCCCAACCAAACTCCCCTCCCTCGACGTCGACGTCGACGACGGCGACGACGACCCCTTCCTCAAAAACCTCGAAATAATCTGCTGATCCGCATTGCAAACCTCAATCTCCACATCCGGCCCCGCCGGCGGCGCCACCCCCCCGCTCGGCTCCGAAAGCGTATTGCTCGCCCCGAGCACGATGGCGCCCAGGGCCAAGTAGTCAAACACGTCGCAGCAGTACCTCCACACGTTGGCGCTCCCGTACTTCCGGAGGCACTCGTCGTAGAAGCCGTACACGGTCGTGATCTGGCGGGACTCGTGGTTGCCCCGGATGAGGGTCATGCGGTCGGGGTAGCGGACCTTGAGGCAGAGGAGGAGGAGGAAGGACTCGAGCGAGTAGAAGCCGCGGTCGACAAAGTCGCCCATGAAGAGGTAGTTGGTGTCGGGGACGTCGCCGCCGACGCGGAAGAGCTCCATTAGGTCGTGGAATTGGCCGTGGATGTCGCCGCATATCTATGGGAGGGGGGGGGGGGGGAAGGTTAGTGTTAGTTGGGTGGTGGTGATGGGGTATGGGGGAAACAGGGGACGGGGGAGGGGGACACACTGTTACGGGCGCGTTGACTGTTACGACGTTTCCTTCCTCGATGAGGAGCTCGCGGGCTTTGTGGCAGAGCTCGCGGACTTCGTTTTCTGGTATGGGGCGGCAGGCTCGTAGTTGAGCGATGGCTCTGTTGGGAGGAGAAGGTTAGATATTTGCTGTCTACACGAACAATCGTATGCGCGCGCATGGATTCTCACCTGTCGAGGTCGCTCATTTTGTTTTGTATAAATGTTGTATGGCCAAGAGGGAGGTTGCGAATGTTGTCGTTGGGAAAAGGGTAATCGTCGCGAATCGAATGTATGTATGTAGTGGCGTAGTAGTGAAGCGGAAGGCAGATAGTTACAATCGATAATCAAGAACTATCCGAAATAAAATAAACTTCAAAAGTCCTGGGGGGGTGTCTTGCGCCGCAGTGACTTGAACAAACCAATCGTTTCGGCTTCTCTCTAATGGATAACGATAAGGAACAAGGGGGACAATAAAACAACCAACCCAATATCAGATGAAAAGGATGCTTCTTCCCCCTTTCAAAACTTGTTTTCCTTTCGTAGAGATGTGTTTTGCGCAAAAGAGGCGGCGGCGGCGGCGGCGAGTTCGGTGCTCTTCATTCCCCAGCTCTGGTTAGCCAAGGGGGACGGACCTTAACCCGACAATTAACTTGAGCTGGTCTGTGCTCGCCTGGCTCCGGTTCGGTAGCGCGTAAAAATAAAAAAAGTGACGCGCGCCTGACAGCTCTCTTCGTTCGTTCGGGCTCGGCTCAAGGAAAACGGATTGTGGGGCATTTACCATCGCCAATCCACAAGCTCCATCCAACATCTCGAAGTAGAGCTCCTGTCCCCGACCCCGAAGCCGTTCGTTTTCCTCTTGTGTTAGATTGTTTCCCAGGACAGAAAGCCATGAATTAATTTCTTTTCCCTATTTTTTTTCCACAACCAATTGGTATATCATCCCCCCCATTCTAAGTTACCTAGGTATGGAGTGAAAGCTAACAATCCCCTCAGTCCAAGGTTCCCGTTCCCCCCCCTCCATAACCACCACCACCACCACCACCCACCCATCCCCCTCGAGGAAGACAAATAAAACCACAAACAATAATGCCACCCCCCCACCTCCACCCCCGCTCCCGCTCAACATCCACCCTCTTCGCAACCACCCTCGTGGCCTCCTTCTTTGTCGTTGCGCTGCCGCATATTCTGCCTTGTCCAGCGCCGAGACGAACGCTCGCCGACGGGGAGCTCGACCCAAACGCCAAGAGGAAGAGGAGGCAGCCAAGGGAGATGATTGTAGGCGAGGATGGGGTGGCGAGGTTCAACAGTGTCGTTGCTGCGACGCCGGAGCAGCAGGAGGAGTTGCAGAAGCTGAGGATGGAGAGACGGGCGGAGAGGGAGAGGGAGAGGAGGGCGGAGAGGGAGTGTCCGGTGCCGAAACCGGGAGGGATATTGGGGGAGTGGTTGGGGTTTCATAAAGATGACGCGGGGGGGAAGGTGGAGGGGAGGAGGGGGGAGGGGGAGGGGGAGGGCAGGAGGTGATGGTGGATGATGATATGGAGAAGATGAAAGGGGGCTGGGTAAGGGAATTGGCTGATGGGGTAGCAACATATGGGGGCTGGAGGCTTTGGTTGGTAAAAGGGGGGTTATAAAATGAATGGATACACCGGGATCTGGTTTCCGGATTGTACATATGGGACAGACAGGCTTTGAAAAAACAGGCACGGTTTGGGGCGGTCGAATGATGGTGGGATGGGAAAGATGAAACGGACTGATAGATGGATACCCTCAGGCGAAAACAAGGGCAGTAGACAAATGCTGCGAGAAGACATAAAATGCAAATAAACAGAACTGCGAGCAGAACGGGATGCTGTTGACTGAAGTGGTGCATATGTTTACAGAATCTTCCTCGATGGCTACATGTGGCCTAACTTAAACGGGATCATTGGATGACCTTTTCAGAAGGGCATGAACCTCTTTCACCATCTTTCAATAACTCGAGACAACCTCTGCAGACCTGTTCAATGCTGTCTTTGAGGGGAGGGTAGTTATTCCGAAAATTCCAGTAGTACCTATTGAACTGTTTTGATATCATAGAGATCATGTGTTTTGTGAACTGAAACGGTCTTCGTCGAGTTTGACGTTAGGATAGACTATAAAACGGCTCTGTAGTCTAAATCATCAGGTCAAAAAACGACTGACTACGCCCAGAGCATACCACGGCTCGGGCATGCCGTTGGCCATGATGATGATGATGACAACAACCGCAAGATCAGGGCCCTGTGAGAATAGTCAGTACTAAATGATAGCCAATATATCTTGAAAACATGATAACAGACCTTTGAAAGATAGCAAATAGACCTCTGAGACTAACCAGCAGGTGCGTTTTCTAGCATAAAGGTTCTACATCAACTGTGGTTACAGCCTGTTTGTGTTAGGCCAGCGGATACCCGCCATGTTGCATGAGTGCGGGCAATCTCGCCCGGTAACTGCACATGACTTGATCCAAAGGGCATCGCCATGGGAAGATCGTGCTCTTTCTCGATGTGGGTGTAGGCTCGTTCAGCAACCTTTGAGTTTGGTTAAATGATCCAAGACCAAGATACCCACAGTTCGTGATCTTGAGCAAAAAGTAGGCACTCCAGGATTCGAACTTGGGACTCTTCTCATTTCTTACAACCGACCCAAACCCGACGATCCGAGTAAGGCTGGTGGCCAGACCCAGCCGACTATTGTAGGGTGGTATGCATTTGGGACGTCTTTGACCACTCGACCATACGCCCTTTTCCTTTTTGTTATTATGTGTCAGTGGGTTAGGATTTACATGCTTGGGCTTTCATGCGTTTGTCTATGTCTGCTAAGCGGTGGTTGTCACAGTGGTGGTTGTTGAAGTGGTGGCCGTTGAAGTGATAATCGTTGAAGTGGTGGTTGTTGAAGTGGTAGTCGTTGAATTAATGGTCGTTGAAGTGGTGATCGGTGAAGTGGTGATCGGTGAAGTGGTGGTCGTCGAAGTGGTGGTCGTCGTCAGCCTGCGGCTGGGAAAGTCGAAGAGTGTGAGGAAGAGTTTGAGAACTATCTTGGGTTTGTCAACGAATTAGTGATAGAGAATCCAGATATATTGATGAATAGACTCCTCTTTCTTATCATCGTGTCGACTGTTGGCCTCAAGTCCCCAAATGCTGGGTGTGTTTCTGCTGGCCACCCCTTCACCGCATATCCTCGACCATCACTGCACACAACCCCTCTCCCAAAACCCCCCCAAGAAAAAACGTCTTAAAAACGTTCGCACACGGATTCGAACTCGGACGTCCTGACATGCTATCTTTGCCTGCATAGCCAGCCAGCACTCACGATGTTTACCTGTTCCTCCCAACATCCTCCCCCCCACAACACCACCCACCCTCACCACCACCACAACCACCACAACCACAAAAAGAAATAAAATGCTCTGAACAGCAAAAGATAGGCACACCAGGATTCGAACCTGGGTCTACACCGCATCAGATCAATACCCGAACATTCCTCTCTACCCTCGCCTGAACGCAATCGCAGGAAGCCAAAGCAATGCAGCACCTAACAGTACAACATCCCAGAGAGCAATGTATTGCAGAGGCAAGGAAGAGATTAGTTTCGAACATTTTCCCTAACCGAGTCGTCTTAAACCACTAGACCATGCGCCCTGTCATGCGTCGTGTGTTATTTGTTGCTATGAATAAATCGGACGAAATATATAAACCACTGGTCGGGGACGAGCGACTTTCGTATGTGTGTGTGTGTGTTGTGTGTGGAAGGGGCGATGAGGGCTGGGTGGTCCGTGAGCACGTGAGGGTGGTGGTGGTGAGGTGGGAAGGAACGAGGAGGGTGGCAGGATACATGGGAGGAGAGCATGGTGTGGGTGGAAAGTCTATCCTTTCTTTTTCTTGGGTTGCCCCCATATGATCCCGTTTGCCTACCTGCCCAAATGAAGAGGTGTTTCACGATGTTCAACCAGACACCTACTTTCCAACCTTGTCTTTGACCTTTTTCGTCATCTCCACAACTTCACAACATACACAACCCCCCAAGGCTCCCCTCCCACCACCAGAAACAAGCCAACATTCCTCTGCTCTCAATCTTCGATTTCAAGTTTCCAAAGAACTGCTCACAGTAATCGAAAAGACTTGGAAATATCCCAATCACCTCAAGACCACAAGAATGTTGCGTCTCCGACCAGAGACTTGACCGAGTCGTCTGCAAAAATGGGAAGTCCCAGACTGACCTGGGCAAGGACTGGTCAAAACGAGGATATGCCGAAGGCATGTTGAAAGTATCATGACTACAGTTTCTCGCTCTATCTCCACTGGCCACCTCACTGACACTCAAAAAAGCCAAGCAGAAGAAGCACCTGAACAGAATAAATAATCGTAGAGATAAGGCGGCTCTCAGCAACGAGGTCAGGATTGACCCTTTGAGGACTGGGGAGAGTTCTTGGGCCTACATTGTGGACAGCAAGATAGAGAGACTACCACATAGGATCAAGGGCACTGTACAGAGGCCCTAAATAGATATCATATACCTCAAGGAATAGTCGACAGTCTTTGCAAGATAGTCCAGAAGCTTCGAAAGATAGTCCATACTATCATCCAAGGCCCTCCCGAAGGAAACAGTCATTCCATCATGTCCAACCACACCTTTCTAGTACAAGCCTTATCTTTGACATTTCTCAGACTTCAAGCTCAGCATCACAAATGTCTCTCTGAAGAGAGGCTCGTACTTGAAGAAAATGCCGGAATTGCTAGTTTTAGATGACTGAATCCACGTTGGCCTTTGTATTCGATCCAATTGCACGATACCTTGAAGCCCGATGCCTGTATAACAAACCTCCCCATCCCAGTCTTCATCCCCTGGTACCTGGCAAACGAAGAACCTGAATCATACCACGCCAAAAACCGGCGTCGTTCGTCGGCCCGTCTGTACCATCAAGTCTTACATTCAAAATCCCAGTCAGAAATCAACGTCAATAACCGCCAGCACTCATTAAGGTACTCGTAACAGCCATATGCTTTATTACGGAGAGCGATCTCCCAGTCGAGTACAACACCGGTTTTTGGCGCCGCCTGACACGACGAAAGTCTTTGTCTGGCAAACATTGACCGATGAAAGTCGTGATGTCTCGTCTACCTACCCTACAGGGACATACTCAGACACCCACACACCACAACACCCCCCACACATACACCTCAATGACAACACAAAAATAGAATAAATAATTTCATCTTTAGTGCCCATCACCTATGCTCTACACCCAGAAGTCGCAGACAGCAAAAGCAACTAGGTAGGATAGGTAGTTATAATACATCCCCTTTGCCCCCCCCACCCCCAAGCCTCCTCTCCTCAACCCCCCCCCCCCCCCTCCGCTCCCAAAACTATACTGTCCCCCCCCCTCCCCTCTCCTTCCCCACCGCCCATCCATCAACAATCCCACCAAATCCCCCCAAGCAAAATCCCTTCATCAACTCAATCTGTTTTAGAAAGTTTTAAAAAAAACCACAGCCGCTGATACAAAAAAAAAACCGCTGATAGCAGAGAAGCAAAAGGAGAAAGAAAAAACGAAAGAAAAAAACCACAAAATAAGGGCCATCCCCTATTCCGCTGCAATCCAGTTCCCCATTCCTTCCTTCCTCCCACTTGCCCCCCCCTTCCCCCCCCCCAATCCACCCCAATAATCTCCCCCATAACGCCCCATCAGGAGAAAAAAAAAAAAGAGAGAAACATCAAGAATTTTTGGTATTCTGCCCTCCTTGTCGAAAGTGAAACCGTGCTGAAGAAAAAAAAAAAAAAGGCTCCAGTGGCGGGGGAAGAAAAAAGCCGGCGAGGGAAAGAAAAAAAAGAATAAAGCGGATATATACGCAAAACAGGAAAAATAACAAGAACTGATGATTGATGTATTTTTCTTCACACACACACACACACACACAGACACAGAAACCAACAACAATAAGAACCATTAATTCCCAATCCCAATCCCCCAATCCCCCATCCCATCCCGCCATATCTCCCAGTCCTTCTTCCAGCAAAGAACAACCAACTCTCTCATCATTTCCCCCCACCCTCCTCCTGTTGCCCGTCCGGATTACTCCTCACAACCGCAGACTTCAGCACAGGCGCAATACTAATCGCAATCTTCTTCTGCTGTCCCCCACCACCACCACCACCACCCGCACCATTCGGACTCCCCTCCCTACTACCACTACTACTCCTCCCCCCCTTCCCACTAGTAAAACTCCCTTTTTTCCTCAACAACCCCCCCGACAAAGAAGAATTACTCCCCGCACTACTGCTATTCCTCCTCTTGTGCTGCATCAGCTTATCCAGCGCATCATCCTCATCCTCCTCCCTCCTCCTCTTCTCCGATAACCTCTCCGGCGGCGGCCCTCCCCCCGTCGGTGGTGTACCCGGCGGTGGTGGCGGCTTCTGATTCTCCTTCGACGCCTCCCCCTCCGGCGTCGCAGCATCAACCGGCGTCATAACCTTATCCCCGCTCCCATCCCCATCCTCTTCCTCTCCCCCTTCCTCCTCCTCATCCGAAGTATACTCCACCAGCGGCTTCCCCCCCCCATTCCCAACCCTCAATTCCGTCCCCCCAGGTTGGTTATTCTCCTCGTCATCATCCGAAGTATTCCAGTACTCCTCTTGCGCCGGGTCCACAGCAAGGTGCTCCATCATCGCCCCCCTCCCCGCATTCCCCGGTCCTCTGCCCATTTGTTGTTGCTGCTGCTGATGCTCCTCCTCCTCATCCACCTCGCTGATCGTGTACCCCTGGCTCTGGTCCCACCTCATCACCATCCCCCGAAAGTAATCAATATGGCTCAGCGCCACAATCTTCTCCCGGTAGTTCTCCATCAGATGCCTGGCCAGCTCCCGGTCGCCCTCGTAGTTGATCGACGTGAAAAAGTCCAGGCAGGCAGACGACAAGAGGTTGTCCCGCGGCAGCGTCCGCAGCAGCGTGTCCAGGACCGGGCCAAAAACTCGCCTGTCGGCCATGTGCTTGGTGAAAAACTGGTCGCGCAGCAGGATGAGGTGGCGGAAAAACCGAATCGCAACTAAAATAAACAAAAAAGTTAGCCGAGTTTTTTTTACATGACACTAAGTAATCATACCGAGCTGGAGGTGCTTCTGCTTGCAGGCAAGAAGCTGGCCAAACCGCTGGGCAATGTTGTTCTCAAAGACAAAATGCTTGCTGCGGACCGTGTGGTGCCGGATATAAAAGCACAGAATCTCGTTCAGATACCCAAAGATGCCATCTTCGAGGGCGTTGAACTTCATATTAGGCCGCTTTTCGAGGTCGAGCAGCGGCTTGAATAGCTTGGCGACGGAGTGTTCGTAAAAGTGGGTTATGAATGCTTCTTGTTGAGGGTCGGAGGATACTATGAATCGTTCCTTGCCCGCGTACCCCTCTCTATTTTCTGGAGGGGGAGCGCCACCGACGTTTGGATCTAGAAGAACCTTGAGCGATTCTGTAAGCTGCGACTTGATGCCCAAGTCCACTTCGACGAGGAGAAGGTCGATCAGGGTGTCGGTAAGGGGCGCTGCTTTCCTCTGAATCTGCTCATAAATGGTCTTCCGGATCATGGAGGGGTCAAACTCAAGTATGGAGCCGAGAATGTCTGTGGCGCCAACCCGGACCGACACGTCGGGATGCCTAAGCCCATAATTAATGACGGGAATGAGTCCTTGTTGGAGGAAGTTGCCGTAGAGTCTTTGGCGGGCAGGTGGTTGAAGGTTCTTCGAGATGGCGCACATTTGCTGTATGAAAATGACGGCTTCCTTTTTGCGCAACGGCTGCTCATTCGGGTCACCAAACACAGCAAAGAGATCTGTCATGAAGCCGGGGGTCATGTGGAGGTGCTGCACAATCTCGACCTGGTTGAAGAAGATGAGCGAGTTGAGGACTGAAAAGGTAGGGTCGTCCAAGATCCTAGCAAGCACAACGTCCTTCAAGTACTGTAGCCGGTATGTCTGATGGATCTTGCGTCGCACTTGATCATCCTGGATCCTGACAACCTCCTTATACCGCCCCTGATTGTTCAGCCACTGCCTGTGGTTCGCCTTGTGTGTCGGAAAATCGGGATCGTACTCCATTGCGCCCACAACTCCCAAAACACATTCGTCAGACACGGCATGTTCGATGAGCCCCGTATCGTTCAGCAACACCACTGTCTTCATAATATTGCAGAGATGATGTAGGTCCCCCAAGCTCTCTAGATCCTCGGCCATTTCTACTAGCGGGATCAGTTTAGCGATGTAGTCTTCGCTCATTATTGCTTTGGCGAGGGCATCGCGGCCGGCCGGGGATTGTGAAAGGTTTCGCAGGGTATTCTCTATATCGATCAGCGTCCCCAGCTCGGCGGGCGGAAGCTGAATGGGGGGGGCGGGCATGTCCATCGCCAAGTCGTCTGAGAGGCCATCATCTGTAACACGGAAAGTCAGCAGGCATTCCCCCTGGATAGGTTATGCAGCTCGTACCTGGTCCCCCCATGGCGGCCTGGAACTGTTGCTGGACCTGATCGATAAATTTCCTGAAAACCCGGAGGGTTAGCGTTCTGCGACGGCGTGATTCGCGCACAGGTTCACACAAACCATATTGCCTGGCACCCATCCGCCTCCTGGAATGAAAGTGCCATGTCAACGCCATTGTCGG